TGACAACGCGTGTCGTGGAACTCTAATGAGCACTGCAGTTTAATTACTAGCATGACGCCTGGGTTTGTACTCGGTCACATCATTACATCGGTATGAATTTTGCATAGTACGCATCAAGAATTTTGAAGAATAACGTCTCATTACAGTCTCATGATCGTGGTGGGGGAAAGGAAGTTGAAAGATTGTCAGGAGGGTCTCGAAATGCGGGGTGCGTCGTATTTGATATCAGCCAATATTTAGTCCCTCATACATGGCTTAGTGTACATCGTAGATCCCCTTCTCTGAAGTCTCGTCGGTCTCGGTGTTAAGGAGTTGTCGACCCTTTACCGGCAGGTTACCTACCCCTTTGGCACATGTTCTCAATGCGATTGAAGCATGAAAACGTTCCGGGTTTCATCACATCATCGAGATGTTTTCATGTGCGCACTTGAGCCACGGTTCATCATTATATCATTTTCCGGAATTTTAGGGCCCTTCAATTCAGTACCACCGCCATCATCTTGCTCATAGGCCCTGTAAGACCGGTGTCATTGTTATTTGTTCTTGGGATGGAGGAAGAATGTCGCTACACATTATCACTGCAGCGCTCCCGTGATAACCTTTCAGTCATCGGACCTTCGTCGATTATTCTCATGCGGATTTGCACATCTCGAGGGTACGTCGAAGCGCAGTGCTTTCCTTTTCGTTTCTTTAGCGGAAGTCCGCATAGCGCAAAAGAGAACAGTATCCAAATCGCTTCTTGAACTACAGAGAATGTAGAGGGTTGAAAGCGGTAGTCTTTTTTACGCATGCACCCTCATTCTCAAGGTGTGCCGCCTTTCATCTCATTTGGGTCACTCTTCGATGATTCTATCAGATCTTCTATTACGAGTCTTGTCTCTTATATTTTCGTTGTTCCGCACTGGCAGCTGCTTATCCCATTTATGCACTGCACGTGTGGTCGGCAAGTAAAAGAGATGAAATGTGGAATTCGAGACGATTTTAGCTGACGCGTACGTCCCTTCGCCAAGGGCTGGTAAAAATATTGCTAATACTTACAGCACAGAACGTCATCTGCCATCGTTGTGCGGCGCCGCCTAGGCTGAATTGCACCGCCTGCGCTACTCCTCTAGGTCCTAAACCTTCAAGATCTCAGGCATGGATACCTGCTATGGGGATCATCAAATCCGGTTATAACGGGCTGGACAAGGGCCCGCCGGTTCGAGTACGGCCTGTTGGTCCATGCGTAACCAATATCCGCTTATCATCACAAGTTTATGCCCCGGCCCTGCTCTCCCGCTCAGCTTATCCTCCTGGTACCTCATGCCCTACTCGCAGAATAACATTCCCTTGTTGTCCGCAGTCCATTCCCGACGCGCCAAGACTTGTGTACGCGCTGTTTTATCTTATCTCAGGAACCGCTATTTCATCGCCACAACACCATGACATTCTCGACATCACCACATCCCCGAAAGGAACACCCAGGCAAATATGGGCGTTTATAGTAGGTACTCGCATCAAGAAGGGTTCGAAGCTGCGAAGACACCAATCCGTGGCGGACTCTATCCTCTTCTCTTCGTTGCAACTTTGCCCATTTCGTTCGTCTCTAGACGTTGACTGAAGCCATCCCTCGGCTCCAAATTCCAATTGACAGTTCGAATTAACGTATTTGACGAAACGAGCTGGTTCGGTATGACCTCATCGAGATGGGAACCTGGAACTTGGGAACTTGTGATTTTCACGTCCAGCGCGATTGGATGCTTTGTCCATCTGTTGAATCCAAATTGTGAGGGCCGCGGGGCACCCTCCCCAACTAACTCTTCACTCTCAGTGTCTATTCTTACTCTGTGATACTCTGCACCCTTGTCCCTGCAATCTCTTACTCTGATTCCCGCTTTAGTCGTGGGTCGTCCTCGGGGTGTCGGTTAGTTTCAGTTTCATGTCAGCGACTATCGGTAAGATGTCGGGTATCGAGCAGGTGGTCGGCCGCTGCTGGGGTTGAACTTGCATCTGTTTCATTCTTCTCTGCCAATGTGACACAGAACAATGGAAAGAAGGAAGAGCGGTCGGTGGATATACACTGTTCTGACAAGGAGAAGAACCTCGGCGGCGATGGGAGGTGGATTCTCAACGGGACTTGTACGGACTGACGTCACTTGCAAGTTCCTCCGAGCCTATTGTACTTTGGGCAATTTGAACTTGGGAGCTAGGGGAGGTACAGGAGGACTAGCCGACGTCCCGTGCACCTGACCTAACGGCCGACAATTGAAAGACCCACCCACAGCTCGCTTTGATATTTCTTGTAACCAAGACCGGGAAGGTGTTATATTTGAATACCGTAAGAGCAGAAGCTCGACGGCGAGGGCATGATATCATCAATCAATAGGCCGAATGGAACCCGAAATGATATGATGATGAATTTGCACAAGTCCAAAGCGAACTTCGGGAAAATTTTTGCCGTAGTGAACGTGCAACTGGTTCCTAGGCCAGTCTGTTGCAGGGCGCGCGCGTCGGGACCTGTAGCGGGCCGATCCACGCGCTGCGGTGGTGAGATAAGTGGATAGCCGGATGAACAGATCTGTATATCAGAACCGACCGCAAGTGGGACCATCAGAGCCACCAATTTAAACGTGCTGCCGAGTTGAAGTTCCCACTCAGCAGTGGGGACATCAGAAAACTGCCAATGCCAAGTTGGCTCTCGTGCGTGCGGTATGCCATCATGCCATGCAGCACGACCGGATCGTCCCTGTGACGAGACGTGAATGAATGGACTTCTCTCATTGTCAAGTAACACGCCGCAAAGCAATATATCTCAAGTACAATTCGACCTTGGTCAAATCAGCAAAGGGGTGATGTTTAAGACCGAGAAGGGGTGGGAATGATCATTGATGGATGCAGAAAAAAAAAAGACAGGAGATTTCTATAGTCCGTGTTTGAGAATGAATGCAAAACAAAGAGACAAACTAGATTGGGGTCCTATGGTACTAGGTATACAGAGAGCAATGAACATGATATGTTACTTTTTGCGAGCGGCATGTACAGAGATAACGTTAACAAGGAGAAATAAAATTTAGTAGCAAAACGGCGAGAGCGCTCAAACACCTATACCGTCGGACTCGGAGGTTAGCACAGCTGGACCTCCCACTCGCCGCCCTCGGCTTGTTCGGTGCTCCGAAGAGCGATGCGTACGCGACGGGATGGAGATGCCGACGTTGTCGTCGGAACCGAGACAGGCGAAAGAAAATCATTATCGAATCCCATGTCGAGGCCCATTCCAAAGAATGGATCGTCGTACGTTGGGTAAGTAGGTGCAGGGGAGGACGGCTGAGGGTCGTGTATACGGACTCGAATGGCGCCATTCGGGTTCGTCTGCGCGTCGAAGGAGACGTCAAGCGCAGTGGACGACGGTGATGTCGTTGTAGCGGGAGAAGGTGATATAGGGAGCGACTGCAGAAGTGGCAAGGCGCATAGAAGGGCCATTAAGGCGGACTTGGATGAAGACGATGAGGGAAGCGGCGTTTCAGTGGGTTCGGCCTTGATGGCTTCTGGTTGCGGCGACGATTGCAGAAGCGCCTGGGCCTCAGCGAGCTGGGCGCGCAGGTCGTCGATCTCGGACGAGGTCGACATCGACGGTGATGGCGACGGCGGTGATGCGCCTCCTGCCAATGCTTGCAGACGCGCGTTTTCAAGTTCGAGCTCGGTTACCCGACTGCATACATCCTGTCAGCTACCTGCCTAGTACTAAAGGAATAATGAAAAATTTGCTCACATTTCCATGGCCTCGAATTCTTCTCGTTTCCGTTGTCGACTGAGGAATGCAGCCGCTCTGTTCTTCACCAGCCGTGCTTCTCGTTTCGAGAGACCGGACACATCCGGCGGGACGAAGTCCCTCGTTGTCATGCGCTCTCTGGGCCGCTTCGCGGTGACTGAAAGAGGTGAGGGCGACATCCGTTTATTCGATACTGGCGTCTCTGCCTCCATCGTATCCTCTATCTGGGAGAGTGATGTGGGCGGAGGCGACGGCGAAGGCAGAGGAAAGTCGAAGACCTGGTGGGTAGGGAGGCAGGTGATGGTAGACGGCTCAGGATTGGCAGTCTTGAACATGGGAGAGGGCGAGCTCGACGAGGAAGACGACGACGGGGAAGGGTAGTAATCCCAGGACTCCATACCACAAGTGCGTAAGATTGGGGACTTGTGGAAAAGAGGCACCCACTGCATTGGCCCTTTTTGTATCCGAGCGGCTCGGCGTTAACTGCGAGTTACCTCCGTATTGGGCATTCTCTGATCCCGAACACGGCCACGAACCGAACCGGTTCCTCCACCGACGACTCTCCGCTTCCACCTCTCACTTGCACTTTTTAAGAAATAATCCATACACGAAGTTCTCCTCCAGGGTGTATTGTCGGTCTCAGCTTTTTTTTATCGTTTGTCTCCTCCGATTTCTATCCTGCTGCGAGTGCTGCTGCACCCTGGCACCAAGACAAGGCGCATCATCCAACCCCAGCCTCACTGATCATCTTTTGTTTAGTGATTCAATATCATGTTTCAATTCCAGGGACAAAATGTCGTCTTGTATAGTAACTACCAATACAATGTCCGTGGATCACCGTACCGATTAGATTACATCTTCGCAAAATGGTTTCGACGCGCCCTGGCCCCACCGACAAACGCCGTACGCGTCCTTGGCCTTCTCTGTTCTACCTGTCTTCTTCTACCTACATTGCACCACTTTTACATGGCATGGAATATCTCTTTTTCCCCATACCCAGACTCAGGTACAGGGCCGCGGAACCAAAATGTCAGTACCTAGCTTAATGGACACTGACATTGGGACTCGGTAGAGCCCAGGGTTATTCGACTAGGATCTGAGTAGATATCACAATTATTCTGGCATTTCCGCAGGTAGAAAAATAGTCATGTCGTGGTCTTAAGCCGAGGACTCAGGATTCAGGACTGAGTACTGAGTCTCGAGGCATGAAGCTGAACCTCCTCTGCAAAAAATATGCTCGCTGCATGGACCGCTCTCTGGCTGGGAGTCGAACCCAGCTTTCGCGCGAAATGTTTTCAGGAAAAATCGTGACAGGCGCGTGTACTAACCGATATACTACCAGAGATGGAACGATATTTCAACATAGGCCAATTCACTCCAATCTACATATTTTCCTCTCAGTGCAAACCGACAACGGGCAGTGACAATTGGCTTATAACTTTATCAAAGGGTAGCAGTAAGTGCAATGATATCATTCTAATCTCGAGCCTTATCTACATAGCATCTCTCACCCGTGATACCATGCGTCATGAACCGATGCAGGGTCGAAGCACGATTTCCATGAAATCGCCTTTAAGCTTCCTTCCCCCTCCTCCTCCTCTTATCGATTAGGAACTTCCTGGCTCAGAACCAGTTCAACTGTAGTCTATACTTACCATCGCGCCCATTCACTAGCACCAAGGCCCGATACCTATATCACCCGACCACGTTGGCAAGACCCGGTGAGGCGTTCATATGATTCCTTCCGCGTTTTGTCCGATCCACCGGTGAACTGATGAAAATTTCGCCAGAGTGTGTAAAAGAATAATCCTCTTATGTACGTTGGGATAGCAATTAGTGCGATCGGTTCGTTCACTCGTGGATTGTCCTGCCGGGCTACTTCTTGTTTTCTCCCGAGAAATCTATGGATCCGCCGTCGAATCCGCTCTATACCCAAGGTTATCCTTAGTGGAAGCCAAGAGATATCTATATCTGCGCGCAATCTGGGATCGGTGAAAACTTTCTCTACCTTGTAAATTGACCAGCTGACAGCCCAGAAATATTTTTGAACGCGACCTAGGAGAAAGAGAAAGAGTATAGCCATCTGGCAAAAAATGAGGAGACCGTGACATGCTCACGTGGTCCTGGCGCGTTATTGACGCGAATTTTCTGTGATTATGTAACCTCTTTCTGCACAGCCTTCCCATCCGATTATCACTTGCGAACGCCAATAAACTTCCTCTAGACTTCCGCAGTACCTAAGCTTGCTCATATCGTCTATCTTCCATCAGATGCGTGACTGGCTACCAGTAGGAAAAGAGGAACAGCTCCAATACCGTCATGCTCGTTCGTCGAGCCTCCGTGATTGAATAATTCCAAAATTTGCTTGCATCGCGTTCCTTTGTCTGATAGGCTCCGATATCTATACACACACCAGATATAACAACGAAATCCACTGGCGCGATATCCCGGTCCTGTGCTGAACAAGCGGAAAGAAGTACAAATGTACGTCCTGTTTCATAGCAAAAGATTTTTCTCAAGGCACTCGTGTTTTAGCGATGGTGGATCTTAACAAGATGCAGATGCCGTTCCATTCCAGTATGATGGATTCTCAGACATGACCTCGTTCAATTCCCCTAGACTATTATTATGCTGTTGAATGCTACTTTCAATACAATGCCACTGGCGCCTAAAGCTAGGCCATCTGCAATGATGTCGGGAAACAGCGCGAATGCCGCCCGCGAATGACCACAGGTAGGCTCTAATAAAATCACATTCGCTATCTTCCAATGCTTTTCTCACACTCAACAGGTCGAATCACAGAAACCGTGTGCTGGAGCATCTCCCTCTTATAACTCAAATATGGAGCCTTCTTCTGATCGAGGGCAATGCATTTAGACAAATTTCCCTCGAAAATTGACATTGTGTTGAAACGACATCAGTTTGGTCGCTAACCTGAGTGTTCGAAGACGCTTCGCATATTGAACTGCATATTGCTGCAAAAGCCGATCCAGGGTTAAGGCTTCCTCTGGAATAGTCTCTCTGAATCTGGAATGTTTCTCGGTGCAACCAATCATCCTTCCCGCTCATTCGAAGGCGCTGCAAACGCCGGAGTTCCTCGTGCATTCATGACAGTGAACCGATTCAGCACTCTGCTGACTCCGGAGTTGCAAGTATGGCGGAACCATCTACGTCCAAGCAGCGGTTCAAGTATGATCATGTGCGTAACGGACTTTTTTTGTCAAAACTTGACTGACGTGAGCGTACAGAGATGACGAGGACATTCCTAGCAGGTGATTCAGTCGCGCCGGTCAAAACTCCAGAGAAATACACAAAGATCTGACACAGTGATTTGACCACAGCAAAATCCGTTGGTAAAGGGAATCCCGACTCATTTTGCTGTGGTAAAAGCGTAGGTCTAGATTCATACGTTATCCGCCTATTTTCACCGGTTTGGTTCGCCCAAAATAACCGCGTATCAGGAGTGAGATGTAACCGCAACATTTCATAAGAAAAAGGATGGCAGAAAGCGTCTTCGAAGACTTTTTAGTGACCGAGGTTGATTGCCAAGAACATGTAAGTATGCAGATCGAAGCTAGTGCACAGCTTTTGAATGACGCTTCAGTAGATGGTGCATAACCGATACCTTCAATTCATGCAGAAGAGCCCGCGAATTCCTTATAGCTGAGTAAACAGGTCACGGCCCCGATGACGAAGTCAGCATTACTATCATGTAAATCTCCACTCTCCGTCGCTTCATATGTTTACATATCTACCTGGGAACGGCGTGTGTGCGATGCGGCCTATCGAGGCTCTCCCAGTCTCATATCAACGGATCTTCCCATCCTTACGGACTGCGATTCTGGTACATCTCGCTTGCTCCCTCAGCTTCTGACCATATCTATCACTATCGATTAGAAGTTATAGAGGTCGATGTCCTTCATTTTCGAAAAGCGGCTGATATTAACTACTCCGCTTCCGAGTATAGTCAACTGCAATATGTAACAGCATCTCCACCGGCATGCGTACAGCCCCAAAACAAGAAGGAGATTCCAATATTAGACAAGTACCGGTCATCTAAAGACCCGCGACAACCGTGCGCACGAAGGCACAAAGCTAGTCAATCCTTCCCTTATCTCATTTCAGCTGCCAGTCAGAAAAAATACATCAAGTTCATTAAATGTTAATCTATAGCTTCAGGTACAAAGATGATAATTACATAGGTACGTCAATTGAGTAACAATGGTTTCGGGTCGCTTGTGCGTTAGTTTACTTGGTTTGCGGGTACGGGTGCACTTGTGCGTCTGCACCTTCACAATGTATGGTAGAACCCTGGCTGGCCCTGGATCGGCTCTTTCAGTTTGCCCTCTCTCTTCAACCTGTTCAGCCTCGAGAAATGTATCACAGTCGCTAGTACGGTTCCAATGAGCACAATTTGAGTCCCGATCGTCACCCACAGACCTAGGAGTTTTCGAGTATAAGTGTCAGAGCGTTGAAGTGAGGGGAAAAGAATACCCACCAGGGACATATTTTGGAAAATCCTTCTCCCGAAATACGGTTGAGGCGATGATTCCGCCGATACCTGCGCAGCCCGAAGTCAACGCAGTTTGCACCGACCTAATGATGAGGATGATGATAAGCGGCTTGGGCATTGAGGGGAGGGAAGACGAGAAGGAGGTTCATCAGTACGTACCGTTTACTCTGCGATACGACATTATTGGCACCGTACGCTAGGATACACGGTATGGCACCCGCACTTCCGATGTTGATGAGGAAAGTCCCTAGTGATTTGACTTGAGTAATGGAAGTAGAGAACAAGGGAGAGCGGCTACCAAAGTACCGCAAGGCATGTGGTTGGGTAAACGCTGTTAAGCAACATCCGACAATGCAAATGCATGCTTGGATGATGATGAAGGAACTCCGGTGCTTGTACCGGTCCGATATCCATGCAAAGAAGAGCGCAGAGATGAACTAGCGAGAATATATTTAAGTTTACTATCCAGGTGACCGGAAGTCAGCATACCGCTGGACCATAGGGAGGCGCGCTCTAGAAACCACTAGTCAACCGAGAACTTGGTTATTGAATAGACAGGACTTACCAGAAGGAGGGACATACTTCTCCCGTAGCCCATACCACCCAGGATAATGGAAATAAAGTATGCTAGCATGTACGACGGCACGGTCGAGCACGCAAGCATGATGCCTAGCGCCTCCAATCAGCCAGGACCCAACGCCAAGAGTCCCGTTTGTACATACCGTAAGTCCAAATCGACCAATCCTTCAGGTGGAACCAAATTTTAGCTGGTGTCAGGACATCCGGCACCGAATCTCCACGGTCAATTTCGATCCTCCTTAGAACCACTGCTGTCTGCTCTGGAGTCAAGAACCGGTTCTTGTCCGGGAAATCAGGGACATAAAGGAACGTGATGATGCCCAGGAATATTGTAAACGCGCCCTCAATGATCTGTAAGATAGTGCGTGGCCGCCGCATGAATAATGGAGGTAAATCATAGGAGAAATCAACAAATGCTCACAAAGATCCACGACCAACCGGCTATACCCCGTTTTCCATCAAGTAAACTGATGCAGTAGGCAAGGATAGGAGCGAACCCGGCAATTGTTAGTGAGATCATGTAGAAGGCAGCAAGCCTGGCAGTCGTAGAACATGTCAATTAGCTGTCATTCGATGAGTAGACGGTACAGACCTCTTTGCGACTTCGTGACGCGTGTACCTAAGGGCCAGAAGAGATGGAATTAGGTCCGGATAATGTAGAACGTAATGAAGGGGAGTCTTACCAAGTTGAGATGATATACACGAGAGCAGGAAACAGCCCGGCCTACGCGGAGTCAGACCCGATCAAAAGATAGAAATGACGGAGTGATTTGCACCTCCATGGCGCCCAACAATACGCGCAAAACGGTAAGAACTTCCCAGGTCTTGACGAACCCGATTGATAAGCATACCGCGCCCCATGCGGTCACAATAAAAGAGAGGAAGACGCGCGCTCCAATCTTGCGAAGAAGGATATTCCCGGGTACTTGACTATCGAGATAGTTAGCTATGAGCGTGCAGAAAAATTAAGAGACTATAACGTACAATAGCACGTAAGGAATGAAGTACATGCACGTCGCGATACTGTATCGAGATCCAACGTCAAGTCCCTATAGTTCAAAAATTAGAATCGTCCCTCACGAACAGCGGATATTATTTACCAATGCTTCGCCCATGCCGGCTGTTCTAGCGACACTAATATTCAGCCGGTCAACTAAGGCGACAGAGTAAAGAAGAGCTAGAAGTGGAAGCATTCGGATGTCCACCCATCGCCTATTCACAGGTTCAGACACGAAACACCAGTGCAATGATTT